ATTAGAAATTTCTAACCTCTAAAGAGATAGGGGCAAATATTGTGCAATAATAAGGAAAATATCGCCGGTTAAAGATGGTGACCGTTCAAAAACGGCTCAAAATGGACAGAAAATATCGATTATTTCTAAACTGAGAATTCTAGCGTGTTTTCTAATTAGTTCGTTACATTTCTCGCTTTTCTCGCATAAAAATGAAGTGAAATTTGAGACATTTTGACAAACTTGATATTTTTTGAAAAAATCGACCTCCACCCTTAGAAAAATATTTCCGATTTTTAGGCCTCCACTAAGCTAAAACTCATACTCAGAAACGGTTTAAATTATCTGATCAATCATCAGAGCCTTTTTATGGGTCTTTATGGCTAATTAGGTTTCATCAGCAATTCCTAACCTCCGAAGAGAGAGAAGGAAAAATAAGGAAACGTCCACATTTAAAACCGGTCATAGCTCGGACATGCCAAAAAATATCTGATAATTCTTTAAAAAAACATTTTCAATTATAGCTCTGAAACGGTGAAAAATATCGAAATAATCATTGGAACCTTTTCGGTAGAACGCTTTGAGCGCTGTTGTCCTAATTATCTTTTTTCGGAAATTTCTTGCCTCTTCAAAGGTAGGAAACAAAAATTAGTTTTTTTTTGCCTAAATTCAAGTTCAAGAGGTTAACTCTCGAAATGGGTTCGAAATACCTGATTAGTAGTAATGATTTTTTAGATAAAGCGTTTCGAGAGCATGCATTCCTAACCTTTAAGAAGATTTAAAAGAGCTTGCAACACGACAAATTGAACGGAAACAAAGAAAAATAACAACGTAAAATGAAAATAATTTAATTAATGAAAGTTTAAAAAAAGTACAAATAATTGACTTAGAGAGAATTTAACAAAAGGGAGAACACATGTATTGAAATTGAAGAAGAGAAAAAAAAGGAGTTCACTTGAGCAGATATTTCGGGCGGTCGTGTGCAATGCCCGAAGGGNGGGTTCGTTAAGCGCCACTAGCTTTCGCAGCAAAGCTAGAACACTCAGCGGTGGAATGCTGCCGAAATACCTACTCAATGTTTCCACAAATAATTACACATTAAACTATAAATCATTTAACAAAAGAAAACGTGGTTTGACGACCACTGTCACCGTCTGCTAACTGTCGCTCAAGATTAATTCGATAAC